ATCCAGTTTGCTGGATTTGTTGCTGGGGATAAACAGTTTGCCTGCAGCTATCAAATTAGTAAATTGAATTATCAATGTACATTCTTTTTCTAGTCCAGAGATAAAATTCATAACTGAGTGATATAAATGGACCCCTTTAGGCCTATTTCTTCATCTTTGTCTTTGGGCAAATAATGGCCCCAACCCGTAGAGTTTTTGCTAGGATTAAGTAAAATAATTCATGTAAGCACTAAATTACAGACTTCTGAACTAATAAAATTATTAATATTTTAACACCTAGACCCAAAGCAGGTGTTATCAACATATTTGGCAAATTTTATAACAAAGATTGTGACTACTACATCAATCAACTATCAGAAGGTTTGGATTTAGCACAGTCTGCTGTATGAATAATCCATCCATCTGGGTAGCACACCACAGTTCTAGATACCAGGGCCCTTTGCCTGTTCCCTGAAGACATTCAAATTTGCATCCTTAATTAGTAATCCAAAGAAACCCAGTTTGCTGCCTGCAGCCATCAGATCAGTAAATCAAAATATCAGGATATGAATCAAGTTTAACCCTAAACTAATGTTTATAGATTTACTTTTTTCCTTCTGACTATTTAATGCTCTGGATCAGCTTCTGTTTTCAAGTCTGAATAACATAAGATAGAAAGAAAACTGGGCCCTAAACTTTGCACTAGAGCACAATTGAAACTAAGGTAGCACCTACTTTAGATGGATACAAAACTTATGCTCAACTCTACTCAATGCCTTTCATATCATGTAGGGCAAAAAACAAATTCCTTGCTGTGGTTTACAAGTCCCTACAAGATCTGGCTTCCTTTTAGTTCTCTGTATTCATCTCCTCTGAGTGTCCCTCCCTCCCTTGTCAGCATTCCATATAGGCACCCAGCCACCTCAGCACTCTCTCCTTTTTCCACAATTTACTTCCTCACCTTTCAATCCTTACTGAAATATTATGATCTTAGTGCCATCTTTTCTAAATTTCAGCTCCCCATTATACACCTTATTCTTGCTCTTTCTCCTTCTCATCAGCTAACATATTACCTATGTTACTTACTTATCTGATTTGTTGTGTATTCCAGAGTTGAATGTAAATTTCATGAGAACAGAGAATTTTGTCTGTTTTGTTTTCCAAGTGTATTTCCAATGCAAAGAACAGCATCTGATACAAGGCAAACTCTCAACCCATATATATGGAGTAAATAAAATTTAAAACTAATCAATGCTAAGAAATGTTTTGGGTTTAGTAATCATGCCATCATTACTAGGCTTTAAAATGGTAGCTGTGTAGGGCCTCCCTGGTGGTGCAGGCAGTTGGACGTGCGCTGGGAAGATGTCTGCAGTCTCGAGAGCGCAGTTTTGATCTTGGCCAGTTGTGGAGATACCCACATGGTGTGGCAGACCTCTCCTGTCTCGCCTGCTGCTCTCCTCAGCAGTATATTTCAGTCAATCTGCCTATTCTGTTCCCCGCTCTGTCTCTAGTGAATCCTCTCACCTTTCACCACCCCGCCCCCCCACACACACACACCCCCTGCACATTTGTCTTGGACTCTGGTTTTTTTTTTTAAGATTTATTTGTTTGTTTGTTTATTCATTCATTCATTCAAGCACCAGGTACAGTCAGAAGTGCAGGAGGGTGGGAGAATTCACCAGAGCCAGAGTGGGGAACAGAACAGGCAGAGTGACAAAATACACTGCTGAGGGGAGCAGTGGGCGCTGCAGGAGAGGTCTGCACTCCATGTGGGACCCTCGCTGGCGGCCGGGGATTGAACCGGCGCTGCAGAGGCTGCAGGCAGCTTCGCAGCTCAGCGCTCAATCGCTGCTCCACCAGGGGAGGCCCATACCCTGGTTCTTGTATGCATGAATAAATAAATCTATTTTAAAAAATGGTAGGTGAGTATTAAAACATTGAGAGAGGAAATGAGATTTGCTTTATCCTAATCAAGACAATAGGGTAGAAGAGGCATCAATAAAACATTGACCAGTGTTGATGTTGAGGCCAAGTGAAATATACTTAGGGTTTATTTAACCACTATTGCTACTTCCATTTATTCTGAATATTTTTAAATGAAAAAAAAAATCTGAAAGCAAAGATAACTTGCTAAATAAACAAATAAATGCCATGGAGAAGACCAGGTGAATATCCAAACAGGACCTTGTGCTCATCTGTATAGGAAAGGCTCCAAATGAAGACAGAGGAATCCAGGGTAGACTGCCAAACAGACCAGGCTGGTACCCCATGCAGCTGGTACTGAAAGGCTGGTACTGTCAACCACTAAAAGTGGCTCCACTTCTTGGCATAAAACTCACATTAGCCCTATCCTCAGATAGTGCTTTTAAAAAGACAGAGGCTATATAATTTCCTGCAATGAAATAAACAGTGACCTAGACAGCCAGAAAGTACTTTTTTGGAGACCACTACATTCTCTGAAGGCAAACTACAAGGAAATCCTGATTTGTTTGGGTAACTGCTGGATATGCCTAGAATCCAGCAGGAGCTACACACAGGTGAAATTTATAGCATCTGCTCTCCACTTTAGTTACCTGGTAACAGTACCTGATATTTAATTACTATTGCCTGGGCCAAACCCCATACCACAGTTGAATTGGTCCTGATTGGAACCCAGGCAAAGATTGACTGTAATTTGCAAGATCTCAATCACTGTCCTATGATGAAATCAAACAAGGTCTCCTTTTTATGTGCAAATTGCTTTAGCAAATTAAAAGGCAAAAACTTTTCATTGTACTACATAAGCATGGCATTTGCAAATGCTTATTCTAGTGCGCTTACAGACAGACTGTTTTTCTTAAGACCAAAACATCCTTTAAAAAAAAAAAAAAAAAAAAAGATTTTAAGACTAGTGTACTTGAGAATCACCTGCAGTAAACTTAGCACATTGTAGGTGCTAACTCAGTAGGGCTGGGTGGGGTCAGGCAACATTTCTAGCATGCTCTCCAGCCATGCCCAAGCTGGTAGTGGGCAAACCACATTTTATGAGTCACAAAACTGTAAGATAACAGCTCTACATGATTCTGCCACTAAAAAGCTCCTTAGAAATTGTCTACTTATGAGAAACCAACTATCTGCAAAATAATACCCTCATTGTTCTGTGAAAAAATAACTTCACAGGAATGACAACTGTTTCACTAGATGGGACATGAGCAAAATGAGGTTTGACATGAGAAAGCAGCAAAAATGTTCTTGTAACTGTCTATTGTCAGGGCCTAGCCATGTTCAAAAGCTTTAAAGGGATAAACAGCAAATGCACAACCAGCTTCAACCAAATTCAATCTTTTGTAGAAAAAGACCCTCTCCCTACCATATGCAGAAGTGGACACATTAGTCTAATGAACCACCTGAACAGTTTGCATCACACATTGCTCAGACCAAGCACCTTCACAGAACGCCAGACAATACAGACAACACCCAAGTCTCAAAACAAGATCTGACCTTTGGGTAACTTGCACATAACACTCCTCTTACTGTGTGGTTTCCCATAGTTTAGGAGCTATACCTGAAACAAGAAAACACTTGATAAGTGACTAAACCTAGGTTACAGGCACTAATGCCCAGAGCAGCAAAACAAAAGCTATTTTCAAGTAAACGCAAAAAGACCAATAAAAACCATGAGTTACAGCTGTTTTAAAGAGAAAGTGGGTGGCTCTTAGAAGAGCCTTTGAGTTGAGATGGGTCAGCACTGAGACAAGTTTACGCCCTCTCCCCGCGGATGCGGCGCGCCAGCTGGATGTCCTTGGGCATGATGGTGACGCGCTTGGCGTGGATGGCGCACAGGTTGGTGTCCTCGAACAGCCCCACCAGGTAGGCCTCGCACGCCTCCTGCAGCGCCATCACGGCCGAGCTCTGGAAGCGCAGGTCGGTCTTGAAGTCCTGCGCGATCTCGCGCACCAGCCGCTGGAACGGCAGCTTGCGGATCAGCAGCTCCGTGGACTTCTGGTAGCGGCGGATCTCGCGCAGCGCCACGGTGCCCGGCCGGTAGCGGTGGGGCTTCTTCACGCCGCCCGTGGCCGGCGCGCTCTTGCGGGCCGCCTTGGTGGCCAGCTGCTTGCGGGGCGCCTTGCCGCCGGTGGACTTGCGAGCGGTTTGTTTGGTACGTGCCATTTCAGCAACAGCGAGGGAACCGTTAAGCTCTCAAACAAACCCTGGAGGCTGCCTTTATATATACTCAGGAACATTCTGATTGGCCTGGCGCTTTTTCAAAAGTCCCGCGCAACCAACGTATTGGTTGAAGAGTCTAGGAAACTGATTGGGTGAATTACGTCACATTGCAACCTAGTTACTTTCAAGATGAGCTAATTCACCGTGTCTCAAATTGTATACAAGGGTTTGTGGATCTTGGAAGATAACCAATTCTTCAGAGACGTGTGTGTGTGTGTGTGTAAAGGGAACTGAGATACCAAAGATTATACTTTGAGATCAGTCTATCTGTATTGCTCTTTATCAAACCTTTATTTTGTGTCAACAGAAACTCGTGTAGCCAGGATTGCTCCTTCACCCCGTGAAACCTTTGATGTATAAGGCCAGAGTCCTGGGAGGAGTATTTAGGGAATCAGGTAACGCTCATGGCTCGGGGTTCAAGAGCAAGTCTGCAACAAATGTTCACTTGACTTCCCTACGGTGACCCAAAGGGTACTTTGCCTCAATTAAAAATTTGAAAAGCCAGCGCAGACTGTGGACTTGCTAAGGGTTCTTTTTGCTTTTGTGACTCAATATCCCAAGGTAAACTGCCCTTGTATGTTTCCCTCTAAAGGATTTTTTAGAGAAATGCTAATAATGAAAGAACACTGCCTATTCAAGGTTTCCAGACACTTGTAGCTTAATTTTTCCCCAATTGTACCTAACTCCTTGAGATACTAAGCTTTTCCCTGTTACTATATTCATGCATCACTAATAAAGCCGGCAGCTTGTGGATTAAGTATGGTGATCACACACATGCGTAGTAAACAGAATATATCAGTTACATGCTTTTTGTGAAAATGTGGACGGCTCTGAAAAGAGCCTTTGGGTTAAAGAAAAGGTGGCAACTGCATACACTGATGTTAATTCATTCACTTCCCCTTGGCCTTGTGGTGGCTCTCGGTCTTCTTGGGCAGCAGCACGGCCTGGATGTTGGGCAGGACGCCGCCCTGCGCGATCGTCACCTTGCCCAGCAGCTTGTTGAGCTCCTCGTCGTTGCGGATGGCCAGCTGCAGGTGGCGCGGGATGATGCGCGTCTTCTTGTTGTCGCGCGCCGCGTTGCCCGCCAGCTCCAGGATCTCGGCCGTCAGGTACTCCAGCACCGCGGCCAGGTACACCGGCGCGCCGGCGCCCACGCGCTCGGAGTAGTTGCCCTTGCGCAGCAGGCGGTGCACGCGGCCCACGGGGAACTGCAGCCCGGCCCGCGACGAGCGCGTCTTAGCCTTGGCGCGCGCCTTGCCGCCCTGCTTGCCGCGCCCAGACATAACGTCGGAATAAGAGCTGTTCAGCTAAAAAGAAACCTCCCAGAACGCGAGAAGCTGGGTAATTATACTCTGCCACGGTTTGGTAAAAAAGTCTGTGCTAGTGGGCCACAGATCTCAGCCAATCAAAACACGAATCTGAAAGAAGACACCGCCTCTAATTTACATAAGACTTAGAGTTGAAAGGTCAAATTTTTTTTAAGAGGGCGCTTACAGAAGAGCCAATGAGAGTTTGGAATAAAAAAGGGCCAATCAGAGGTTAAGATACTGAATAAGCCAATCAGAAGTTATAGTTCTGCAATCCCTAATTTGCATATACACCAAAGAAATATGAAAGCCGGGAGCTGGGGGCGTATTTTGCTCGTAGTCACTGAGAAGCGGCGCCATGCCTGAGCCGGCCAAGTCCGCGCCCGCGCCCAAGAAGGGCTCCAAGAAGGCGGTGACCAAGGCGCAGAAGAAGGACGGCAAGAAGCGCAAGCGCAGCCGCAAGGAGAGCTACTCGGTGTACGTGTACAAGGTGCTGAAGCAGGTGCACCCCGACACGGGCATCTCGTCCAAGGCCATGGGCATCATGAACTCGTTCGTCAACGACATCTTCGAGCGCATCGCGGGCGAGGCGTCCCGCCTGGCGCACTACAACAAGCGCTCGACCATCACGTCGCGGGAGATCCAGACGGCCGTGCGCCTGCTGCTGCCCGGGGAGCTGGCCAAGCACGCCGTGTCCGAGGGCACCAAGGCCGTCACCAAGTACACCAGCTCCAAGTAAACGTGCAGCCAAAGGTACACCAACGATTCAAAAGGCTCTTTTAAGAGCCGCCCACGCTGTCTCCTAAAGGTCTGTAACCCTAAAGATTTGAGATGTGGTTAGAGCAATCAACGTGGCTTATAATTTCGGTAGATATTATATCTTAACAGCATGTAGAACTGCAAGGAATAAACCTGCATGTTACTTAATTCAGTACGTTTTCCACGGGTACCCTAGTTGGGAGCTGCTAAGGAGTCATTTTCTGACTTCATCTCGTCTAGGATGACTCCTCCACATGAGGTGTTTTGTTTTTTATTTTGTCAAGCCTGTACTTCTAAGACAGTAACCAGAGGAAAACCTGGGAGTTTTGAGGAGTCCTAGATCCGAACAAAAGTGAGAAAAAATCGAGGAATGAAAGCGAAACCGTTTTCTGTAACAGCTTTAGATTGATTTGAACTACCTGTGGTGAATAACTCGGCGTTTCTAAAACAGCAGTGCAGTGCCAGGCACGCCTTCCCCATCCTTCCAAATACATTTCTTCACGCAAATGTGTTCTTCATTTAACCTTACCCAGTATTTTCTTTTGACAAAGTCAGGAATTTTGTAATTGAGGTTTTCTCCTCGATTTACTGTGCAAGAGTGTTAGGAACCAACAGGATAACCTGAGGGAAGGAAAGAAGTGAAAGTCTCCAGTGTTACATAATTACTCCAACAGCCTCTGATTCCCAGGGCCTGAGGCTATAGGTTGTCAGCCCCTGAATTTAAATTCCAAGGGCTCCCTGAGTTAGCCCTACACCTCCGAGTCCTGGAATGACCACCTCCACAATTTCATTTCCTGAGATTTTATGTAAAAGAAAAAGATTACAAAGTTAACATTTGTTTGGCCCTCCCTTGGCTTAGTACTGATTTTATCCCACAATTATCTCTTGTGAAATGGAATCTCCTCTTTTATATGTAAGTCATGTGAAGAATAAAGTTAATAGCTTTCCCCTTACAGAAATAGAGCTGGAATCTAAATTTTTGTCTAATTTTGCACGTTTCTACATCATATTGACAAGACTTTTTCTCAAGCAGGAAACGAGTTGCAATCATAGGAACAGGGAAACTTCAGGCACAAAATTTAAAAAAAAAAAAAACAGCATTAGAATAAGTAAAATTGGCTTGAAGTTACATGTTCTTTGAGACACAGTAACGTACTTACATCAATCAGATTCTTTCAAAAATAGATATATTGAAAAAAATCTGATGTAAGGACTTTGTTGTCTTTGTGCAATATATACATATATATTGGGAGAGAAATTTTGATTTGGAAGCTAAGGATCACCTGATACCAAATTTAATTTGAGCACTGTGAGGTTGGAGGGTATTAACTGTAAAACTGAGTTTAGAAATCTCATTTTCCATTTATTAGCCATATAGCTTTTTTTTTTTTTTTTTTTTTATAGAGGCATGTTTTATTTATTTATTTGTTTGTTCGTTTGTTTTGTTTGTACATGCACTGGGTACAGTCAGAAGCGCGGGAGGGTGAGAGAATTCACCAGAGCCAGAGCGGGGAGCAGAGCAGGCAGAAGGACCGAAGTACACTGCTGAGGGGAGCAGCGGGCGGCAGGAGAGGTCTGCGCGCCATGTGGGACCCTCCTCCGGTGGCCGGGAGCAGCCGGGAATCGAACCGGCGCCGCAGAGGCAGCGGGCAGCCTCGCAACCCAGCGCTCAACCGCTGCGCCACCGGGGAGGCCCCAGCCATATAGCTTTATTTGTAAGTTCTACATAGCAGATTTCTGTGAATGTTAAGTCACTCAATTTTGTAAGTGGTCTTGAGAACTTCCTTAAACCCCATATATAATTAAGGCATTCATTTCTTGTTTCCCAAATTTAATTTCAAATATATTTCAAAATCTTGTATTCAAGAGAAGCAATAAACAAACATGGGTGAAGAGGGGATACCAGGGCATGCCACCATCATGGCATGTTCTAATGCTGAGTTTGGGCAAATTATTTAAACCCTCTGTGATCATTTCCTGGCCTCTAAAATGGGAATAGTTAGTAACTACTACAGGGCATTGGTGAGGTGACCGAAAAGAACACTGGTACAGCACTTACAAAAGTGTGTGCACACACAAGTCCTCCAAAATAGCAGTGGCTAAATTCTCTGGCTGAATCAATAGGGATGAATCTCAAAATCCTGAGGTCCTGAACACTGGACTGCAAAATCTACAAGCATTTGACAGCAATTAGGGTTCCTTGTCTGGCAGTGTGAATAACAATCCAAACCACTTCTAATAGTCCAAACTTCAGCACCATCAACCTAGTGCCTGTGGCTTCCCAGCTCAGGGAACGTGTGGCTTCTTTAACATGGGATTTCTCAGGCCTCCCTAGAACTAGGGGTGCACCATTTAATGTTCAGATGTGTTAGAGTATAAGAAGGGGGCACTGGAACTCACAAAAGAGCAGTTTAGTAATTTTTTTCTTCCTTTTCCTCTCATGTCTCCTGCTTCCTTTGCCTAATCTCACAGCAGTCTGACCAGAACGAGAATCCTCTTCAGAAAAGCAGCTACACTTTTATTAGTTTGAAGAGATTTAAAAAAAGATCACTGTCCACCAAAAAAAAGCAAAAGCAACCCCCCTAAAACTGTTCCAAAGTTGCCAACCATTTAGATTACTGTCAATTTTCTAAAAACTGTCCTTTTACCACCAAAAAATTTATACTCAAGAAACCTTTACACCAAAGTTGGTTCTTCATACCATCAGCTGAACTCATTTTTAATAGTAAGAAAAATTTACTACACTGACATACTTCTCATTTTGACTCATTGGATGAAGATTTGGGAACCACTGATTTGTTTAAATCACTTCATTTCAAAGTTGAAAAAAGTGCCCCTGAATTAGCTCTGCTAATCAGAGTTGGGGGCAAGATCAAAGCAATTTTTGTTTTACTATTTCCCCTAAAATTGTGTCTTCACTTTCTCATGTTTCAAAACTTATATTCTATTGTTATAAGTAGTCCATACATTTATTAATGTTACTAATAAAGTTGTTTTGAAGTAGTTCATATACAACAAAAATTGTATTTAATATTTTATTAAGAGTAGTCTGGGTTTTTTAAAAGGGAACAAAGCAAACATCAGCCAGAGAATATATAGATGAATTATGACAAAATCAAGCATAATCCTACAAACCGTGAAAACAAGTGTGCTTTAGCCACATGTGACAACATGGCAACTCCATGTTCCCTGAATAAATTGATTCCCAGAAACTAGATGGATTGTGAAACTGTCCGTGTATTTAGGCCAGATGTACTACTGTAAACAGCCCTAAAATCCCGGTGATTAACCATAATAAAGGCTTACGTTTGTTTATACAGTTTATTGACTGAGGGTCACTTAATGCTCTAATTCATCCTATGAACCAGGCTAAAGGAATATTAAAGTTTCTGCTCAGCAGTGGCACATGACATTTTCACTCACAGGCAAACCTAATTGACACAAAGCAAAATCCTCTTACCAAGTGTAGCTGCAAATTTTTGGAACAATAAGACATTTCCACAGGTACTATGTTTCCATAGCAAAAATGAAACAAAGCAATATATTATTTAAGTATAAATGCCTGTGAATTTTGAAAGAGAAGGAACAAAGACCAAATTCAGGGCCATGATTACCCCTGGTGGGGTAGCAGGAAGGTTAGTTTAGATCAAACCAATATATTGGTAATATGTGTATACCACGTTGCCAATTGGGTTCAAGTAGGGTAATCATATAACCCTTTATAACTGTATATGTAACTAATGTGTACTTTTTCTATATCTAGAACTATAAATTGCAAAGGCTTATGCATTACAATTTCCTAATAAACAATATATATAAATATTCTAGAGGAAAAGTCACTTTATCATTCCCAAAAAGAACTTTAAGCTATTAAATGTTGCTTGTATTAGAAATTTGTTTATAAGAAAGAAAAATCACCCCTTAAGCTCCAAAAGTCTGTAGGTGCTCAGAAAGACAATGTAGGCTACTTTGCCAAAATCACTGCAGATCATTTATATCACTGCAGTCTTTCTTTCTGCAACGTCTTTTCCACACACTGAAGTCTTTTATTTTTGTAAACTCATGTACACTCATCCACCAGGCACTTGAAAGTTCAGGTCAGGTTCATTCTAGTGGGGAAAGAGAGATAAGCACATAAACACAATGTGCTAAGCACAGCTGGCTTTGTAAAAGATAACATGTTCCATAATCAGAAAAAAATTATGGGGGTGGGGGGGAACCAAACAAAAACCACTCGCACAGCACCCTGTTGTCTGGATTAAAGTCCAAACTCCTATAACTGGCCTGGCAGCCTCCAAGATTTGGCACCAACTTCTGACCCAAGCAACTGCTACCGCTTCTGGCATGGACCTGAATTACACTCCTCTGACAGACTGTATACTGTTCCAGTCCTGCTTCATTTTTTGTGGGTGTGTCTGTTGATTTTCTAAATAGACTGTGATGTGAAACAGGCGCTGTGTTGCTGAACTAGAAAGCAGAGGCATAGCGTCCCAATTTCAGGTACATAGACTAGAAAGTGGGGCTGCATAGGCCACTGGAAGAACTTTAGCCTTTACTCTGAAATGAGAGCCATTGGAGGGTATTCAGCAGAATGGCCTAACCTGATTTACTCTTTATTGCAATCTCTCTGGCTGCTGTGTGAAGAATCAGAGAGCAAGAGGAAGAAGGGGCTACAGTAACAAAGGTGAGAAAGGACAGTGGCTTGGTCAGATTAGTAGCAGTGGGAAGGAGAAATACTTGGATTCTATTTTTTAAAGTCAGGGCTGACAGGACTTACTGATGGATTTGAGGTGGTGTGTGAAAGAAAAAGACAAAAATGACTCCAGCTGAAAGACTGGCATTGCCAGTGACCAAAACAAGATGATGACAAGAGTTGTTTTGAGAGGTTATATCAGAAATTAGGCCCTATTTAAGTTAGAAATGGGTATTAATGGGCTTCCAAGTAGAGATGTCAAGTAGGTACGTGGATCTCTGCACCTGGAGTTCAGGGGAAACCTTTTGGAATTAATGATTTCATCT